TAAAAGCTGAGCCAAAAAGGAACCTACATCCTACGAAAGCTCGCTCATCTTTACTGATCTCATACCCTCATCACAATTTAGCAAGACACACAATTAGCAACACTAATTGTGCATCATTCTGAACAACCAACTATGGATATCCCAATTCAACTGAACCAACACCAAGGGTTAACATTTGAGTTGTCTCGCAAGGCTCGGTAGTTTCGCAAGGCTCGGTAGTCTTGCAAGGTTTTGTCACTTCGTGGGTTTCAAGAGTTGATACAAAATTATACTGCTTAAAAATGAATGATATTTTACCTTTGATGATACATAGTAATTTCTGAGCCCAAAAGGAGTCTACATCACACGGGAGCTTGCTCATCTTTACTGATCTCATACCCTCAACACAATTTAGCAAGACACACATTTAGCAACATTAAGTGTGTATCCTTCTAAACAACCAACTATGGATATCCCAATTCAACTAAACCAACACCTGCTCACTCAAGTCCTGCGTGTTAAGACAACACAACTCAGAGAAATAACCTACGTGCTCAAACTCATTAAGGGAACGAAAACGGAGCGGACACGTTGCGCACGAGTGACCCGAAGCCCTGCCTTTTCTAAAAGACGACCACTCACAATTGATTCCCTCAAAATTGATTGGAGATTAGCACCCACTTTTGGGCAAACCACTATGTGGTCGACCCGCGCAGTAGCTTCTGGATTTTAAAGATGAATAATTCTACTTCTTGGTATAATCGTGTTTTGTATTACAAATACAATACAAGATTGACTAAAAAATGCAACTTTATCCCGAAATCTAAAAACTATTCGCTATCAAACTTGAGGCAATGACATGTGTGTGACCACCTTTTAAAGAGAGGCTCCGTAGGAATCACGAGGAATAGCGGCGACAAATGACTTTTCAACACTGAGGTGCACGAATGCACTTTCCATATTGGTCAATTTCACAACGAGAATTAATTCGCGCACCTTTGTGCATACTTTCCTTGGCGTGCCCGGATCCCCTAGTGGGATTGAGGCCTTAGTTTTTTGTCTTCTAACGAGACCTGACCGCCCCTTATGGACGGTCCTATGGGTGGCGAGCTTTTCACAACCATCTGCCCCGGGTTGGACCCTAACGGTACCTGGCCAATAGAGCCTGACTGCAACAGCAGACGCACCTTGTGCGCGGGCATACCGCCCCTTGTACCCAGAAAGTGTACCTACTTATTAGCCCTAGCGGCTCTCAGGACCCTTTGTGGTCACTTTTAATGGGACACCACGACGCTAGCCGTCGAGCTCCCTTAGGCGCGCGCCTGCCGACGGGACCCACTAATTGGGTGACCCGTGTCCTCGAAAATAACCCCGAGCTCAGATTATTTGTCCCAAAAAAACAATAACATATTTGAATCTCTGTGCATACCGCACCAAATGCTTTAGGTCGCTAGTTTTGCGTCCACCAACTGCATTCACATCCATTTTATGGAACTCTGAATCATCGAAGAAAGTTTTCCAAAAGTCCCTGACGTTTGAGTCTCCGATGACGCACATACGATCTTCCAGGCTGTTGATATTGACTGGTTCTTCTGCAATTTTTGTGATATTTTTCAGCAGTGTGTTCATTCTAAAAAAATTCCAGAAAAAACGATGTTCTCAAAACAAGGTGGTTAAATTAAAAATAAAATCCTAGACCAAATAAAAATATTTTTTCAATAAGAACATCCTTCAAAATGAACAGAAGAGGCAAAAACATATGATATGCAAGGGGAAGATTTCTTCAATAAGAACACCTTCAGAACAATAACTTAAAGAAACGATAAAGGTATACAAAAACTACAAGAATTTTTCTTCAATAGACATTCTCAATGGAAAGATTCCTTCAATAAGAACACCTTCCGAACAATAACTTAAAGAAACGATAAAGGTATGCAAAAACTACCAGAATATTTCTTCAATAGACATCCTCCAACAACAAAAACCTATACCTTGGTATATACAAACACATTGGGGAAGATTTCTTCAATAAGAACATCCCCCAAAAAATCAAGGAAATTAAGAAAAAAATAAAACACGAAAAGTTAAGCTAAGCATCTTTTTATGATCGAAAGACTCCCCCAACCTTACAAGATAGTTCGATTTTCTGGATTCTATGAAAAGCATTTTTAACAAGGTGGTTAAATTGAAACTAAAATCCTAGACCAAATAAAAGAAACATTTTTTCAATAAGAACATCCTTCAAAATGAGCAGAAGAGGCAGAAACATATGATATGCAAGGGGAAGATTCCTTCAGTAAGAGCAACTTCCGAACAATATTTTAAAGAAACGATAAAGGTATCCAAAAACTACAAGAATATTTCTTCAATAGACATCCGCAAGGGGAAGATTCCTTCAATAAGAACACCTTCCAAACAATAACTCAAAGAAACGATAAAGGTATACAAAAGCTACAAGAACATTTCTTCAATAGACATCCTCCAACAACAAAAACCTATCCCTTGTTGTATACAAACACATTGGGGATATTTTCTTCAATAAGAATATTCTGCAAAAAACAAGGAAATTAAACAAAAAATAAAACACGAAAAATTCAGCTAAGCATCTACTTATGATGGAAAAACTCCCGCAACTTTACAAGATAGCTCGAATTTCTGGATTCTATAAAAAGCATTTTTTCTGAAAACTTTAGCTTCTAACAAATCTTAATTTTTAGTTTTTCAACTTCAAAATAAAATTTTTTGAGCGGATCCAACAACTTTTTTATCTTATTTTCAGGAACTACAGCGCTCATACTTCCTTCCTGAGATGTTTCGGGTTCAATAACTAAAAAATACAAATTTTTCCCTAATTTTTCTAATTTTTCACCATAAGCTACGTAACTGTTCGGACCATTCGCATTTCTTCTATAGCAACAAGAGTTTAGAGTTATTCTAATGCAATTACCAAGTAGTTATGTTTAGTTTTTGCTTTTTCGCTTTCGTTTCAGTCATTAAATTGAATGGGTTTCTTCTGAAAGTTTCTTGCTTAGCTGAAATATGTAAAATATTCTGATGTTAAGAAAAAAAGTATATATTTTTGAAAAGTTCGCCAATATGAAAAAACCAGAATTAATCTACCGTCTTAATCAATTATGTATTATCATTATGATGTAATTTTGTTCATGTTTAGACTAGGTAGTTAACATAATACTAGTGACAGTTTACTGTTGAGTGGGTCTCTATAATAAATGGGTTCACGAAAAAAAATTTTTTTTTTAGAATTGGACCGTCTGAAGTTTTATTGAGTTCATCTACTGTCTTGGTCGTTTTTTGCTAGTCACTATGATTTTTTAGAACAACAATTTCACAAGCTCATCTGCAAACGTTTCTTGCTAAGCTGAAATTTTCAAAATGAAAGACTTTATGAAAAAAGTTTTAATTTGAAGATTTCGGCAATTTGAGCTAATAGAAAACATTTCACTATCTTGAAATAATTTTTTTGATCAAAATGCAAATCTGATATACTCTTTTATTAGAAAACTTTTCCAGCTGAGCTGGACACTTCGAAAAAAATTGTTCCGAAGAGTTTTTTTTAGAAAAAAGTGGCCATCTGAGCATTCATAGGATTAGACTGCTGTCATCGCACAGTAAAACAATTCGATATATTGTTGCTGATTTTCATTTCTTACAAAAAATTCAATAAGTTATTGTCAAAATGTCTTGCTGAAATAATTTCTTAGTTTATTATCATAATATGTTTTCAAGATGAAAATGAAGAATTCGGCAATCTGAGCTAATTTTCAGCTTATTTTAGTGCCTAGATCAGACATGTATTTTGATGCGATGAAATAATGTCAATTTCAGACTATTTGATCAGTGATTAATGATTGAAAGGTTCCTACTGTGCTGTATTCACAAAAAGAAACTTGGTTTCACTCTATTTTTTTTCCGATGAAAACGGCTGTGTGAGGTATCATAGAGCTCTTTGACTGTTTTAGCCAATTGTTCATGGTCAAAAGATATGTTGTTATCTTGTAATTCAAACAGAACTCTGAAAACTTTTTAAAAAATTTTTTTTTGCTTTGCCACGAAAACCCTTATCAAATGTCAGAAAATTCTGTATAATTTTGAAGAATTCAGCAAAGAGCTATTATAGAGTTTTTCTACTCGATCAATGTTGTTGATAGTTATTGGTTTTTCTGCCGGTTTTCAGCTAAAAAAGGTCTAGGTTGGTTTTGAGAGGTTTGGGAAGGCTCAAGACAGGCTTCTGTGTTTTGTTGGCATCCACGTCGTCATTTACAGTTTTAAGTAGTTTTTGGCGTTTATAATGAGTTTGCATATGTTTTTGCGGACTTTTTGGCATTTTGTTGCCTGAGTCACTTTTTGACAATTTTTCCAACCCCAAAACAAGTCTTCAATACCGTAGTCACATTTTGAAACCCCGAATGTCATATTTTGACTACAGTGGTACCCTGGTCACATTTTGACTACAGTCGCCGTCCTACACAAGGTCACATTTTGAAAGCCCATGGTCAAAATGTGACCATGGATAGGACCATAACCCTAACCCTAACAATTTATAGGTTTGAAAGTGGATTTTATAAAACCCATTGATCCAGTTTTCCTAAATTTGTTTAATTTTATCAAAAAAAAGTGTCAACATAAATTGATCTTGAAATTAGAGAGCTTCAACCCGATATATATTTTCTCGAAAGTTGAAAAATTTTCATACTGTTTTAAATCATTTTTACATCTTGTTCTTCTACACTTTTCTAGCCTTCTGTTGGCTGTTTTGATAAATATTATTGAGTCGAACAAGCGCTGCGGAGGCTGGGCTAAAATGAGAGTGGATGTCTTGTTGTCTCGAAATATTTTTGTTTGCTACTACTGCTATATTGGAAAACCTTTATTACCCTTGCGATAAGCAAGGGTACTGCAATTTTCATTCTTCTTTCTGAGATAGTGGATAATTTTGACAAGTATAATTTGTTTCTCAAATTATGAAAGTGGAAAAAAATGCTTTTAAGATAGTGATTGTGATGAGCTCGTCAACTGCTCAGCGTCAATTTGAGTTTGAAAATGACATTGAACAAGTGTACGCTATCGATGAGATCTTCAAGTATGACCAAGCCATGCAAGCTGACATGTTGAAAACAAAACCATGGGCCAAGGACCCGAATTACTTCAAGTTTTGCAAAATATCGGCGCTGGCGTTGCTCAAAATGGTGATTCACGCTCGGTCTGGAGGAACAATAGAAGTGATGGGTACTCTGTTGGGCAAAGTGGATGGGGACACGATGATTGTAATGGACTGTTTTGCTCTACCAGTTGAAGGTATGTCCGTGAACTGGGTGGGTTACTTTTTTGTTCTGCCAAATTATCAATTCTCAAATTATGAAATTAGAAATGAAAAAGCTAGAAGCTGATTGGTTGATGTTAGTTTGAACAATGCGTTAAATTAATGGTATATTTCGAAGTTTTTTTGGGTGAAATAAGTGGAAATAAAACAAATGAATTGAAATTAGATAACTGAATAAGGAGTAAGAATAAGTACTGCAAAAAGTTAGAATAACTAGTTTCGAAGTAAATGATGGTTGGACGTTCGCTTAAAGACGTCATATTTGTAATGAAAATCTGTCTCGATCCCTCTATAAGTTTGTTTGTGTAGCTTGTCATCGAAAAATATCATTGTAGAAATTTAATTGGTCTGATTAAAAGTTGTTGTTCCCGCTACTTTGATGCACGTATCAAAAACTACTCACAACATTAGAATAATCAACAAAAAGTGACATTCCCAACTAAATCAATTTTCAAAAAGACAATTTCATTTAGCTTAGCAAGCAGATTCAGTCATTCAGCTAAGTACTCTTTTTATGTTTTACGGATTTTAGACTTCATGTAATGACCCATGTTCAGGGAATGGTAATGAATGTCAGGCCTCTAACAAACCATTAAAACTTCTGAATATCTCTGTTTCATATCCTATGAGATACTCAGGATTTGGTACGGTTTACTGTCCCCCTCTAAGTTCTCTTGCCTACTTTAACTCATGTTGCCTTTAGAAAAATAGACCGGAACAGGTGTTGTGTTTATGTTGATGGGTCGCATCACGTTATAGAGATATCTCAAGTTATTCTTGAGGTCTGGTTCCCTTTTATCATAGGGGTCTGGTATTTTTTCTAAGTTATCTTATGTGAGAACTTTCATTATATTTTGAAATTTGTAATTTCGCGTGATTTAAAAAATTATGTGGTTCAGAATTTGATTTTTACAGGACCGAGACAAGAGTGAATGCAGCAGCTGCTGCTTATGAGTACATGACTGAGTATTGCGAACAGGCCAAAAAAATCGGCAGGTGCGAGAATGTAATCGGATGGTATCACAGTCACCCTGGATACGGCTGCTGGCTATCGGGCATTGACGTCCAGACTCAAATGTCAAACCAGCAATACCAAGACCCTTTTTTAGCTATTGTAGTGGACCCTACAAGGACTATAAGTGCGGGTAAAGTTAGTCTGGGTGCGTTCCGCACCTATCCGAAAGGATATCAACCCCCGGATGCACCACCGTCCGAGTATCAGACGATTCCGTTGAACAAAATTGAAGATTACGGAGTACATTGTAAGCAGTATTACTCACTGGATGTGAGTTACTTTAAATCCACCTTGGATAAGAGGCTGTTGGATCTGCTGTGGAATAAATACTGGCTAGATACTTTGAGGTAAAGTTAAGCGCCGTTTGCTCTTCGAGTTGTTGAATGGAAAACTGTCATAGACTATTCCGTACAAACAAAACGGATGAATGGTTGCTCATCTCATGGATGTTAGACTGTATGAGATGCTGTATTTGAAATAACAGTGCTGATTCAGAGTCGATGAATGTAGATAGAGGTCGCAATGATTTTTTTCAGGAAAAATCTTAAATTTGATTAAAAAAAATAAACTTGATTTAAAAATATAAGTTAGTAATTTTTTTCGTTTTGTTGCGTTCATCGATTTTTTTTCAAATGTCTGCTGGCTATGGTTGAAATTATCTGGATGAAAATCGAGTAAAATGCAAGTTTATTAAGTTTTTTAATCTGAATTTGGTTCAGCATTATAAAAAAATGACCAGAACAAGAGCTAAGAATTAAAATCAGGGCGGATTTGGGAGGGGGGGCAATATATTATAACTTGAGGGGGAGCGCCGCCAAAAAACGCATTTTTTTGTCAAAATTTTCCAAAAAGTACCCAAAAACGGCTTTTGACCTGTTTTTTCAAAGATTTGCCTGTAGCGCAGAAATTTTGGCCAAAACAGCGTCTTTCTACTGCTTAAGGAGAGCTCGGAAAATTAATTTGGCCGGTCTAAAAAAAAGGTCAATTTTTTCGAATTTTTTTTAAAAATCCACAAACCCCCCCTCGAGAAAATCCTACATCCGCCCCTGATTTAAATGATGCAATTTAAATAACGAGATTTGGAGTCAATGTTTTATGTTTTATTCCGTAAAGGCCATTTTTGGTTCCTTTTAGTGTTTTTGGTTCCTTTTAGTCAATCAAAAGTACTAGACTTTTTCCCGTGTAAACTTTGTTCACATAAGCGTCAATTTTAGAATGAATTGTAAATTTCACCCTCAATAGCTGATATGCTCAATTTCTTGAAAATATAAATACTATGATTAAGGTAGTAGTTAGGTGGAGTCCGTTTCACGCAATAATTATAAGTCGATGAACATAGTTCAGACTCTTATGTAGGTCGCGATGGTTTTTTCAGGACAAGTCATCAAATTTGCTCAGGCTGAAATTTACTTTTCCGCGATTTGACTTCTGACTTTTTAAAGTTGACTTCACTTCATTGTTTAAAGAAAGGCCAACTCCACTGTAGAACAGCAAAAGTGTACAGGTCATGAAAAACGTGATCGACTTCAAATTTTGATAATTGAAATTTGATTTATCAGATTCCCCAGCGTATATACAAAAAAAGTTTTAATTATTGATCCTTTTTTTTTTCAAATTGGTTTAACTTAATCAACAAAGTGTCAATCAGAACGATTGACTCTTTTTATCAAAAAGCTGTTAACATTCAAAGAGTTTTAAGGCCATCTATGTTTTTCGGCGCGTCCAGACAATTCGGCCACAGACAATTCAGCCGATTTGAAATTCAGACAATTCAGCCAAAATTATGCAGACAATTCAGCCAA